AGAGAGAGAGAGAGAGAGAGAGAGAGAGGAAGGTCCCCCACCTGGTCCCGTAATGATCATCTGATCCGCTGGATCCTTTTCTATCAGACTGCTCTACCACATGCCCTTAGCGACTACTAATGAGGTGTTGTAGTCCATGGACAAGCCATGAATGAGCAAGTAGCAAGACTAGATTGCAGTGACCTAGATGGAGACGTGACCTGGCGAAAGGGGGAGAAAGGAAGGGCCCCTCCTAATAGTAGTCATGGGGGGGTGTGGGTGGGGAGGAGGGGGACAGGGAACCGCCTCTTCCATCGTCTTTACCGGTACCAGGACGTGGCTGAAGGGCGCGAGGACTGTGGCCACGCGTTCCAACTGTGGGCGGGGGGGCGGTTGTTGTCTTGATAGAGTAGAGGACCAGGCTTCGACTCCGTGTTACCGAAGTCGAGTGACTTTGAAGAGCTGGAAGTCTACCCCCTCCCCATCCGGTAGCGTCGTAGCCGTGATGGTGGTGTTTTTGACTCGGGTTGTTGCACCAAATATTCAAGTAACTCGATCCAAGTAGACTGCGTAGGGCTTGAAATCGATAAATTCGATACGGATGACATGAACTGCGAAGAATCGAGCACAAATCGTTGACGCAGATGTAAAATAAGAGAGGAGGGTAAAGCACACACAATGCAGTGTCATTGTATTTCGTATGATGTAGAATTTGCAATGTTCAACGTGATCCACGTTGCTGTCCAACCCTCCATCCAATCTCTCGATAAATTACAATTTCACAATATTATCCTTATTTTCATCATCTTACTCAATTGGGCCAACGATTATTATTTGCTGGCACGCGAGCCAATAAAAACCTTATTATTATTTGATTGCTATTTTCTCGAGCTGGTTTGATGTCTTCCAACCGCATAGCACAACAATTGAAAGTAACCCACACACTTGTGAGTCTGCAGGTTATAACCCGAATGATTTAGGCATCAGAAAAATATCTGGAGTTAATCCCGTATGCAGGAGCTCCGAATTCCATGTAACATGAAAAAAAATCTCATTTCATTCCATTAAAAGCAGACGGCAGTAACCAAGACATGAAAAATCATTCAAAATATTCTGAAACCCACAAGCTCCGACCGTAGAGAAGGCACATGGGGTAACCTTCAATCTGTTACCATCCATATTCTCTAATAAAAAAACATTATTATATATATACTGATAAACACACACACCTCTTTTTGATCTACCATCACCTTTTTAAAAGGCAAAAAAAGTTCACCACAGCTCAACTCAATGCTCTATCATGGACTTATTTTCTTGTGTCAAATTAATGGCAAAGTGGTTGGAGCGATTGTCAAAGAATATGATACATGTATGGACAGATTGTTTCCATGAGCATTGACTTCCCACTAAAACTCACACAGCAGAACCAGCAACCAAATTCAAGGATCTTTGTCGCCTGCTGTCCCCCCAAGGAATAACCTCTGGTAGAGCTGATAGTACTCAATTTTCAACATGAGAGAGAGTAACAAGTGTGTTCTATTATAGCAAATCCAATAATGGAGGTTGCTCTGATGATCCTTGCCCGTGACTAGACGACCGTGATGCTTTTGATACTCTAGCATTCCCTTGGTTCCTTCCACGTCCTCTTCCAATGGCAGTAGCAGGAGGTGGGGCAATTCTAGGTGTCGGCTGCCCATTGTGCACTGACGCAAATATGGACCCGATGTCAGTTGCCTTGAAAGCATGACTGTGAGAGTTGGAATGACTTGTTTCCAATGCTGAGACTGAATTTCCAATAACTGATGCAGATGCACGATTCACCTGACCAGAAGTTTGGCTATTCATGGGTAAACCCCTCGGATTGTTCACATTAGAGATCAAGCTCCCCTTGTGTGGATTTGATTGTCCAATAGAGGTGCTGTTGCTAGAAAATCCTATGCTGCTCATGCCGGATCCTGATATTCCATGACTCTGAGTTGGTACAGTTACAGACCCTAAACTGCTTGCAGAATTACTTGGCTTTGGTGGCCAATTGGCAAAAGGATCCAAATCATCAAAAGCACTATTAGAAACATCCGTGGAGTTCTGCTTCTCATTGACATTCAACTGTGCACCAAACTCAGAGTATGAATTTGAAGGAGGCCATTCAATGTCAACAGGTGTGCACGTGGTGGGCGTTTGGTGTGTAGGAGCGGCAGCAACAGACTGCAGAGGGATAGCATTGGCTGTTGCTTGCTGTGAAATCGAGAGTGATTCTTCAGGTTGAAGGTTGGTCTCCAAAGGTTGTGAAGCATTGGCGGTCTTCTTCACTGTTGGACCCCAATCTTCATCCCATGAGGCTCTGCTCTTTGTATATGAGTTTTGTGCAACTGATTTTGGTAATGGTTCAGAATGAAGACCATTGGTTGATGCAGATGAAACTTTAACTTCAGGAGTACCAGAGTCAGACACAGTGACACCCCGTTTCTCTTCTATCTTTCTGCACAAAAAGACAACCTATTTCAATTGTTTTCATACATATTAAAACAAAAGGATGCATCAGTATCTACAGTACCTTAGAATATCCTTAACAAAGAGCATGTACTTGGCAAATTGCTGAACGTTCAGTTGCTGGGCAGTAAGCAGTGGGAAAAGCAGGGGAAGCACATGCTCAGTAGCAAATTCTATGCCATGCTGAATAATAAAGGAAAACTGAATCAAGACCTGGATTGTTTAGCTTGGAAAAAAGAACATAAAACGTTTGAAGTAAATAAAAGATTAAATTAATTCAATGTCAGCTGAGAAAATAGCATTAACAAAAAAAGTATAGTAATCCAAGAGATTGCACGCAGCTTAGTTACTTGTTTATAAATAGAATTTGCCACTCCCAGTGTGCACATAAGAGTGGGTGCTGAGCGGTCCACAGCAGTACACCGTTGAAGCGTTTGCAAAATGTCCAAAATCGAAGGTTTATCAAGTGCTGAAACCAAATCTCCTAAGCAACGGAGGGCATTTACTCTCACCTGTCAATAGAAATAATGAAGGCAACATGAATACACAGAAAAACAAGGCTGAACATAATTTCAGTTTAAGTCACTCATGTAAGTATATGATATATCTAGCCAGTACCGGTTGCACACATCTGAATCACTAAACTTTGGTTATGACTCCTACAAAATATGCTCCCATAAAGGAAAAATGTCAAGCATGAATAACCTCTACTTACCGCAGCAACTGTAGTCTTCAGAGCCAATCCATGAACACGAGGTACCATGGCTTGGTTCACTAGCTACAAAAGAAAAGTTAGTGAATCAGTAAGTTAATTATTGCAATAGGAGTTAAAAGTGGAGAATGATCATGATATAAGATATCCAACAGACAACAAGGAAACAGATATGAGTAAATATAGGGGTCATCGTTCAAAATGTCAATGAATACAATAACTTGGAAATGAAAGAGTACCTAAAGCACTCTCATCATATCAGCCGATTACATTATGATATACTCGATCCATATTAGTACCAGTCAAGGTTAATCTAATTGTAATTGATTTTCTAAATTTCATTACAAGATCCAGAGCCTACATTGTTGCCAACCTCATGTCTTCGGACTGTCATTTTTAAATTGGTTGGAATCAGCTAGAATTGATTGAGTTCTGTCACAGTTAGCCAATTTTGGCAAATTCAAGCCAGAATGTCTACTTCAAAGAAAAGAGAGAGGAGGAAAAGAACAGGACCATAGTTACCATGGGTGGCAGATGTAAGTGGAGAAGGATAAAAAAAGAGAAACAGAGAAAAGCAAAAATGATGTTTGATTGGCTTCAGTCATCATAGGTTTGAAAAATTAGCAAAGATGGATGGCCCTTTGGGATCACCAAATGAGGTCTCTGACAGCCATGTTTCACAGTAATTGATGAAGATAAAAAAAAAGGGGCAACACACACACAGGACTACAGTCTATAGATTCCAATGACCCCGTGAGAGCTACAGTGGTAATAGCAATCGGCATCACCAACAAAGAGAATTAACTATTGTTGTTAGTGAAGGACAGCAATAAGCGGACACATGCAAAAAGAAAAAAAAAAGTCTGAAAAACCAATTGATATGTTGATGCAAAGTTGATGTGGGAAGGGGGAACTCATGTCAAATTGATTAAGCCCAGTTGCTCAGACTTAACACATGAACTTGAACCCTTAGTTTCAGCAGAGACAAGGTTTCTAATCCAAAGCCCAATACGAAATGGCAAACCACACATCCAAGCCTGACCAAATTTAAAGTTGAGTTTGAGCTATGTTCAGGTTGACCTGAGCAGTAGCTCAAGCAGCTTGTAGCACTAAGAGCTAAGGACTTCAAAGATTGTATGAGTTACTTAATTGGATGTTTTGTTTTCACCAACGTACTTTACTTACACACACTTAACTACAGAAAGTTATATGCTTGTTAAGAGAATCTGCCAAATGATGGTTACTACAAGATAGCATTAACTTTCATATACATCTCAAAGATCATGCACTCAAAAATCATCATACTAGAAATGTCAATAAACATGTTACTCATACATGCAAAAGATTATGATCCTTACCTGCATGTCAAGTTGCCTTGCTAAGGGAACAGTTCTTCGCAAAACCTCTTCTTGTATACGCGGATCAGTATCGTCGTAAGCTCGAACAAACAAGGGAAGAACATGGGATATCAAGTCATCTTGGCTTGCCTAAAGAAGTGGATTCCACATTTAAAAAAAATGCATTATAACAGAGTGATGTGGGAAAAAAAGGACTGCTTAACATGAGCAACAAAAGTAGCATAAAAAGCATGTTTCTGGAGAACCAGCAACTTACCTGCAGTATTGCACAGTCTAATAAAAGTATATAGCATTTGAATTATCTAAAAATTGTTATCTGAATTCTGATTACTGAAACAGTTTGATTATTAAAATAATGTCTCATGAATTACAATCTATAGAAGCACAGACTACTGCAAAAAAATATTGCTTGCTTACATATACTGATCTTGTTAAAAGATGGGTGCTAGCTTTTGTTCATGTCTTATATTTCTAAATCTGCCTAATTTATAGTAGTTTAAAGTGTCAAGGTGATCATCAGAAATTTACGCAACTCTACAGTGGATCAAATGACCTTTGCAAATCTTACATGGAGCTTTATATATACTGTGTAATGCTCTACAACAGATCCCACACAATAGGGTTTGAGAAATGCTTGGATGATGATTTAATCGGACAATCACTCTTGATATCGATCACTCTCGTATGGTGTACTTTTACCATTTAGATACATGGAAAAAATGTCCAGAAAGAATTCTCAAGTAAAACCTAAATATGCTATTCCCAAGTTTAAATCATGCAGTTCCATTTAAGAAGTCACTTGAAAAATGCAAGTTATTCAAAAATAAACAATTCTGAGAAAGATAAGATCACGTGCTATGAACCTACACCCCCATGTGCCATGCAGTATTAAGCATAGCATGTGATGCAGAACAATACTGACAGCACGACTTTGTGTCAAATCATGCTCTTAGTCCAAGATGGATAGGAAAAAAATCCATGAGTGCAAGCAATAATTATTTACAGTAAACTTTTTAAGTTTCTAACAAAAACACAAGTTGATTATCAGAAACAGAAGAGTGGATTCTGTCATATTTGTATCTTAAAGTACAATAAGCAGAACTACAGGTAAGACATGCAAAGTAGGAAATTATCAATTCAAGCATGAGAAACTAAATCACCTTGTGGATGATAAGATCTGCATGCTTCACAAGTAGAAGTAGTGTTTCGCCTGATGCAGAACTTAGAACTGGTATCAATGCAGGTAAAGTTGAAAGCTCAAAGTCATTTTTATCCTACAAAACATACCAGTTGGTGAGTTTCGATCAGCTTAAAATCCACATTGTAGTTGACAAGGATGTCAGTGCCATATGCACGCATTTCTCAAAAAAAAAGCTGTGCAGCTAAGATTCAAGTTCAACAAGATCCTTTCTATGACATTGTTGAAGAAAGAAATGGATGCAAAAGAATATCATCCCAAAACAAAGATCATAATTGGTTCTCACATTTCAAAATGGATGCATAAGAAGATCAAATGATTGGATGAACATAACAAGGAGGCAATAAATATTTGACAAGTGACAGTACTAGATGATGAATCAGCTCTCACAGCCACAACAACAAGCTGTAATGTCCCAATTATTTGGGGTCCAGGTCCTCTACGTAGATCTTTTCCTGCCACTGAACTCTATTTAGTCTACTATAATATTCAAACTAAAAGCATGATCTACTTTTAATGTTTCTATAAAATTTCTAGAGACTTCTTGTTCACCTATTGTAATTATACTCTCAATTCTACTTTTGTTGTGCTATTAAAATTACACTTACTGAAAGGACCGTCTTGAATTGGGTACTCAACTAAATAAAATAGCCAAGTATCAATACTAAAGCACACTTTGTTCTGTAAGACTCAAGTCATTGCATAATTTGCATAATTTACCTGAGACTCAGCTATTGTAAGAACCCATCAAGAACCAAGGGAAAAAAGGAGGAAACAAACTTTGCATAATTTACCTGAGACTCAGCTATTGTAAGAACCATAGGAAGAATCATGGGTTGCATAACCATATTCCGCAGCTCAGCACAAAGGGGCGGAAGAACCTGTAAGCCAAAACAAAACACAGACCATAGTCAATGTAACAGATATCTCTAACTAGAAATTTCAACAATAATTAAGGTCATTCTACTATACAGAGAACAAATAAGGGCAGATGCTCAGATTACATGAAACAAAAAAGGTGGAATGCAGAGTCTGAAAGAAAGGGCTTTCCATGATCTGAATGTTGACGGCCAGATAATGGATTCTCAGATTACTGATAAAATATTTAGCAGTAGCTAGTGAACTTGGAACATATTCATGCTAGGGTAGTATCTAAACTTTACATTATTTATGGTGCTTTTCACACAGGTATCTTATTCATCATGATACACAAAAGATACTAATACAAAAGGGGTAGAACAACAACATTTCAGAAGAGTTTCATCCTTTTTATCATTTTCTTGTAGACAAATATTGATCAAACTTCATTGCTGGTTTATCCCCAGAGAAAAGTTGTGAATAAAATTTAATGAGCATTACTTGCCCCCAAAAAATTAGTTTACATTGGAAAATGGTATAACAATTAATTTAAACCACAATATGTAGCGTAGGTTGGACTTTCATTTTAGCCAAAGATGCAAACCATCAAGTAGGTTCACGATTTGAACAAGATTAAAAAATTAACTAATATGATATATACTTCAGCATACACAAACAATCTGGCCTAAAATGTCAAAAACTATTCACAAGAGAAACAAATAGCATAGCCGACTAACTTTGTAAAATATGCACAATGGTGTATTGGACTGTGAAGAAAAAAAATACTGATCTATGACCTCTAGAGCAGAAGTATCAAGGGATATTCTGATCAAGAATGGGGACAAATGTATGTTGAGCGTCAATAAGCCTCTATGCATATCAACCTGAATAAGTATCTTGTTAAATATTTAATATGGAAAACAGCAGACACCATTAAGATTGAAGAGATCTACAACAAAATTCTCGGGACATAGATGAATAATGTTAGACTCATCTATCAGCTTAAGATTTTAATATGAACTGCATCGGGCAATAGATAAACACCATGTCAAAGCTGAATATCCTAAGTTCATCTCTATGCTATTTTGTCATTTGTCTTCTATCCTTCCAAATACTAGCAAGGCACCTTTTTCAACATAAGTGCATTAGCAACCCTTTTTTGTTTGTTTATTATCAACCCTATTTAACTTTCACCTGATAGACCAAAAACTGCAAATTTGTGGTCAATTATTATCAGCACTAACAGGGTGCTTTCCAAGAAAAAAAAATACAGTTACCATAAGCAGGCACCAAAAGAACCCACAAAGCTTCTTCTACCTAGCATTAATACAGCTCACTCTATGTACATGTATCCGAAGGCCTTAGAAAAAATATAAATGCACCCACATATGGGAAAAAAAAAAGGAGAGGTTGAAACAATAAGTAAAAGAGAAAAATCAACAAAAGTAAACAGTTTAAACAAAAAGAGAAAATTGTGGCTCAAACCTTAAACCGCAAGACACGAGAATCAAAATCTTTCCACATATCTGATAGAGCTTTTAGAAACTCAGACTTCTGCATATTATCCCTTTCCTGAAAATAGATAAAACAACATTGTTGGAACCTGTATAAATTCACTCTCACGCTCTAATATATGCATATCAAATCAAACTTTAAAAAGAAAGTCATACAAGCATATGATCAAGGAAACGAAGAGCACGCAACCGGGTATCATCACGGAAAAAGGATGATCCTGCATGACCAGAATGACATCATTAAGACACTGATATCATGTAGTTAAACAGAATCCAAGCTTCACTGAAGATACTGATACCATGTAGCTAAATAGCATCCAAGTTTAGCAAACGATGTGCACATAAGCTAATCCTAAAAGTAGATAAAACTGCTTACAATATGTTTTTAGACCTTATTGGTCAAATCATGATAACCATAGAGGTGTCTCAGAATCATGACAACTGAGATGCAACTGATTGGTTCTAGAGATGCACATATTTCAAGACACTTGAATTATACACTCGGGAAGTTCAATTCAATCTGATCTGTTATACATTCTGAACTCACAGTATATCGACCTAATAATGTGACTTTTTTGTCATTAGAAAGGTTCAGTCGAAATAAGCCGATTACGATAACTGGTTAAAATTTAACATACCTGATTAAGCATCCTCTCCAAAGCACCCAATCACAAATGATAAAGTGCCAGGTAATGGTGTAAAACTGTTTTTATAAATGGACGTAGACCAGCAACCTACTCAAGAAGTTGAATAACACTAGTTCCAGTAACAGAATCTGAACTAACTTCATGACGAAAAAAAATTATTAGCAAGTAACTAGCAAATAATTTTGAGCTTGTTCATCTATGCACAAGTCTACACGCCAGAAATTAATTAAACAAAAAGTTACTGTTCCAGTCATTTGAACTATAGTCTGTTCCAACAAATGAAGACATGGCACACAAAAAAGTAAGGGAAAGTGAGTAAACACTAATGATTCAAAAATTATCTCATTTCTGTAAACACTTTAGATAAATCATTTTTAGTGCTTAAAAATAGTAATAGATTGTTAAACAGTTGAGTTAGCTGGTCTGGAAAAGCAGTTACGTTCATGCATGGGCAACCTTGACATACTAGTAAGAAGTTCCGTTGAAAAATCAAATCAACATAAATTCAGTGAAGATTATATCAATGATGACATATTAGTCTTATTATTACTGGGCATAATTCTTTACCTGTGAATTCCGTTGCACTGGGCCTAGAGGTCTCATCCATGGATAACATCCTTCGCAAGTCAATAATCAACTCAGACGGAATAACCGAGAAGGTTTCACTTGTTAAATATGTCAAGCTATTCATGTACTGCATCAATAAACAATTAAATCAACTAATCCAGGAAAAATAATGAAAAATACAGAAATTTGTATTATTCAAAAGGTCGTTACTAATGTGAAAATCAATTATCCAACTATCAGCTATTAAAAAGGCCATAAAGGTGTCAGTTTCACCACAAGGTTGACCATGACACACACCCAAGAACTAAGAAATTCCATAGAATACTTGACATAAAGGCATATGCAGTTGAAACTCACACATCTAGAAAAAATGGTCTATGGTTCCCCTAATACATATCCAAAGCATATATGCTAGACAATATGATTTAGGATAGAATCACAGCATCCGTCCTTGAAGCAAACAATAACAGACAAATCAAGATTAACAACAGAACTACTCTGCGGGCCATATGGAATCAATTTAGTTTGCAATTTATAGACCCAAATGAAACCAAGAGCAGATTATGGCAGATGTGATCTAACAGTTCTTTTCAGCAATCAGATTACAGATCCATATAACCAAATATTTCTCCTTTTATATGCAGGCAGCTTAACAAAAAACCATATATATGTGATTTCCAACACTCAGAACAGTTATCGAGAGCTTTATTTATAAGGTCTAAAATCGAACAAACAAAATAAAGCAAATAAACTGAAGTACACCATTAAACAACAATAACAGGAAGATAAAATTTTATGAATGTCATCATTGTAAACTGATAAAGCATACAAAGAAACTGTTTTGTAAGTCTTACCATCTTAACATTGTTATGACAGTCCAAAAGAGGCTTGCGAGCAATCAAATGGTAGGCAAGACAACCAAAACTAAACATGTCACAAGAAGATCCTGATGTGGTTGTCTTGTTGCGAACCAATTCTGGTGCAGTATAGTTCAGAGAAGGCTGGAGGGGTAAGACAGAATCCTCAACATCATACTCCTGCATATATCAATTAATTCATCGAACCGTCAAAAGAAACTCTCACCAGAACAGGCATGGCAAATTAATTTTTTAACAATTACAGTTAACAAGTTTGAGTTGAACTTTCTAAGTATAAACCTGATCAACAATAATAAAAAGGCTACAGATAAATGATAGGTCATGATATTCTGACCCTCTAGTTTTGGCTCATCTGTAGTGCCACTTGTAAATCTAATAAAAGAATCTTCAATGTGCTAAGGAATAAAAAAATAAACAAAGATAAGGAGAGGGCATATATTTTCAAAACAATTGAAAACTAACCGAATAGTGAAATGGCTGTGTGGAACCACCTGTAGCCTGGTCAAGAGAGATTGCAAAACCAAACCCTCCAAGCTTCCAAGCTCCACTCAACGTAATAAAGACAGACTGAAACAGCAAAATCAGATGAGTATCTGACAAAACTATCTATAGACTACACAACCATGAAATTAGACATTTACTAAACTAAAAACAAGAAGTAAACACTACAATTATCTGAAGCCAAACTGAAACAAGGATTTTCAAACAATAATATATATACAAAATATAGAGCATCAACGATCAAATTACAGCTTCACTGTAGTGCAGGGTTATACTGGGAGAAGAAACTGACCTGCAAGTACAAAGAGATGTGAAAACCAAATAATAACATAGAAGCTAAGAGAAAGTTTCCAAAAAAACTGGAACCTTTAAACTTGTACATCACTGGCCCAAAACAACAACCTGCTTTAGTCAATCTAGGTGCAGGCAAGGCCAACCGTTATTTGGGTCAAATACCTGATCTCAACAAAACAGTGAATGCATCGGGTTTGTGTTTACCTTCTGCGCCTGATGGGCAGTAAAGTCAGAAAAGTTTACAATTAATGTCTCTAAAGTATGCCAATTACATTCCAGTTATTAAAATGAGAAACATAATGGGAAAGTGATGTGACTTAGGTTATCTCCTCTACATCTAAAAACTGTTAACTTTAAAATAAATTATAGGCAATATGGCATCAATCATTTAGTGTTGTTTAATGCTTTGTGAAATAGAAAAGTAGATATTTTGGTCATAAACCTCTTTTGTTGAAGAAACGAATCAGATCATAACTTCACAGAAACAGTAAATCCAGCTGAATATTGACCACCCAATACCACTAAGATGACTATAACCAATTATCACATACACAATAATTAAGTCACAATATCTCAATTATTTGGGTATAGATCTTTTATCATCACTAAAAAATAACCAAAAAATAATATTTTTAATTAAATTAAAAGTATTTAATTATTTATTTATAATTTATAATCAAGTATTTTTATGTCTCCCTCTACCTCTGCTCGTACTGTTGAGAGTAACTATTTCACATTTTCTACATACAACATGTATATCTTTCTTTAGCACTTATTTATACAATCTTAAATTATTCTCTCATTTTATCTTCTACAGAATCTGCACCTAATAATTCACAAATGAAAGAATTTTTTCATATCTTTATGAACGAAAAGACTTCCTATTTCCTGATGGATCTACACATCCACCTTAGCATTCTCATCTCTGTGACAATGTTTCTTAGCTACCCAACACTAAGGTCCATAAGGCATCATTGATAAATTATCTTATAGAATTTTTCTTTTAATATAAAAGATATCTAGTGATCACATAAGACTTCTAAAGCTTCTCTCCACCTTTTACAATCTTCATTGATCTTTCTATCTTGTTGAATAATTGATCCAAGAAATCCAAAATATTTTCTTAATGAAATTTCTTCTCCATCCAACTTAAGTATATCCTCAAGTCCTCAAATGTATTCCTATTAGCATTAAAATTGCATCTCATAGATTCCGACTTAGTCCTACTTAATTTAAAACAATTAGTTTTCAATGTTTGTTTCCATAACTCAATTCTAGAATTAATAATATGTAAACTCTCATTATCTAAAATAATATCGTTAGCAAATAAAATACATCAAGAGATCTATACTATATATAGTATGTTCATTTATTACAAATATGAAAAGGTAAAGACTTCACGTGGATCCTTGATGTGCTCCGATACTAATAGGAAAGTTCCTAGACACTATATATTTTGAAAATTAGTGACTACACTATCATACATATATATTATAGCATCAATATAATTAGTGAATATATCTTTTTTTAATTCATAATAAGTTTTTTGGAACTCTAACATAAGCCTTTTAAAAATAATAAAAATTGTATACACATCTTTCTTCTTTTCTCTATAATTCTTTACTAATTGTCTTGATATATAATAATATAAATAACTTTCGTTATTGCTCTTCTACGCATAAAAATAAATTGATCTAAATTTGTTTTGCATCTTATTCAGCTTTCAATTACTCTTTCCCACGATTATTCAACTTACTTGCCATGGATCATAATCCTGAATATTATATAATAAAAAATAGTTTTAAATATCATCCTTATTCTCAAAAAATTGATAATAAAAACTCTCCTTCCATTCATCAGCCATCTTTCTAATCTCAATTTTTTGTACTAATCAATCAAACTATTACTTAAGCTCCTTAACTTTTCCAATCCTCAATAGCATCATACTGGTTCTCAAAATAAAGTGATAAATACTCAATTGTCTCAACTGAACAGTAACCTAAAACAAGTAAATCCACATATTCAATTTTCCCAATTAAACAGGAACACAACTAAAACAAAGTAATACACATAAACAAAAACCCGACAACCAGATCAAAAATGTTGCTTTTGCTTTCTCCAACCTCTTTTAATTATTTGATGTTTGTGCGGATAGTTCATTATCTTCCTTCGGTTCTAGGGTCCAACTACAACACTAAAGTGACAAATAAATATTTAGAGGAAAAAGTCTCTAAACTTTGCAAGACATTTATACAACAGAATTCTAAACTTTGTAAGACACATAGAACATTTGTAATGAGGCAGCTACCTAAGATATGGAGAATGATAATCAAAGGAAAAGTCTTTGATATTTAACATATAGAATGTGAACCTAGTTAATCCAACCAGCCATGCCAATCTTAGGCTTAAAAGTTGAGACCTCCAAATCTCCAATACCAACATCCTAATCGTCAAATCCAGTACCTCCAGAGCCATCTATTATTACATATGTATTACAATTCACTTTGGAGATCTACTGTTTAGACTTCCCTTTATATGGAAGTATGACAGTCAAAGCTACATAATTCAAAAGAAACATGAGTGTTGCTTTTCCGTTTCTATTATATGACTTAATACTTAAGTTTATTTATATTATATGAGTTCATACTAAAATATCCTACTTCAAGCCCTTTTTTTCCGGGATGTTCTACTAGGATTTTTTGAATAAGTTTGAGATAGATTTCATGGTCCAACACGGACCTGAATGACATTGTTCTTTCTATATTTGTTAAAATGATAGGTCTTTTTTTTTAGGATTCAGCTCGTCCCACTGCAATACACAGAAACTATTTGAACATAGTATTAAGAAAATAAAAAATGGACGAGACACATCGGCAAGATAACAACAGAACAAGGCGATTAAATATACAAGACAATATAGCAGGCCATGATGACCCCAACAAGCATGCAAGAATAGAGAATCCCTAATGCATAAAAATAAGAAAGAACATAATGTCTACATATACATATTGTGAAGAAAAGGAATCAGAAAGGGTTATGGACAATAAATACAACCTCAGGAGATATTGATTGATGAACGAGACGGGCTTGGTTGTGGAGAAAATCCAGGGTTTCTGCAATCTGGAGCATCCCATGTTTGACCTCTAACAATCCCATTTCCTAACCAAAAATGGAAAAGTAGAAAGCTTAGATGACCCAACAATTATGGAGATTCATACTTTTGTTTCACTCTGAACCACTAGAAATTTGAAGTTCATGTGATCAACAAAAGCCACAAAAGACCTAGTATAAAAGCATTATTGATCTTTTTCAACAATATTGCCTTCTGCAATTTGAAGCATCCCATGTTTGATCTCTAACAATTCCATTTCCTAACCAAAAATGAAAAAGTAGAGAACTTAGGTAATATACTATTTCACGATAAACCATTACAAGTTTGCAGTTCATGTGACCAATAACAACCCTGAAAGAACAATAACAACCAACTTTTCCATGTGAAAATTAAATAAGAATGGCATGTGTTAAGCACTATAGGAGCAAAAAGTAACATCCAAGAGAAAGGTGTCTAGATAAATAAACAATCCTGTACTTCTGTAGTAATAATCTAAAGACAAAGATTACCTTGTATCTAGAATAGTACCTGTTGCAAAAGCATGACTAATATTCAACTAAAGTTTTAGAATCATGGCAACCCTTACCTTCCTTAGGTACAAGCCAACTCAGAAGGTAACAGCGTATGCCAAATAACAAGAGTGAAAACTGGTAAGTGCTCCCACAAACTCGAGCCAAACTTCTCAAGGTTTCAATAAAAACCTCAATCTATCATTGTATGATGGTGATGGCCAAGAGCAAATGAATCCTTGCTAAAAACTAATGAATGGTAGATTTCACATGTCTATATCTATCCTCAAAAATGAACTATAGTAGAAAAAAAAAAGATCTACAAGAAAAGGAAGTTTAAGCATAAGCAAAAAAAGTCAAGGAATTACAAAGGCTGGCAGACCTGCTGAGGTGCGCTAAGTTCTACTTGAATACTAGTTCACCAACTTATGTTAACAAAACAACTAGTAAAGTATTTTAAGGACGTTTTAGTCAGCTCCAGTTTGTTATATTATCAAATTCGACTCTTTTTATCTGCTATTTAGTTGGAAAAGCGTCAGTAAAAGAAGAAAGAAGTTTGCAATAGCACTCAATAACAAATGCAGTGTGGTTTAGACGACAAGGCTTGCCAATTGAAATCTTCTCAACCATGTATCAGAAACTGATCAGCCTACATGTAATGACAATGATATTGCAATCTAGAACTTGCTACCAGCAAACAAATAAACAAAATCACATGCTTCCACATGGAAGGAAAAGAAGATATCTAATCCAAAGGAAAACCACAAGGTTACTTAGAACTACATATCAGAAAATAAAATATGGGTATCAAGAGAAGCATCTAGTCTATTTAGGCCCTACATCAGGAGGCAACATCGCAATTATCCCCTGAAAGGAGATTCAGTTGTATTCATTACCCTAAAAGGACTAGTTCGGCAGACGGATCAAGAATTCATCGCAACGGCCTAACAGATAAGCCTCAAATAAAGTCATCAATGCCATCTGAACGACGATCACATGGATCTAACATGCAGATCGTCTCCAGATCTAGTCAAAACATCGATAAGAACAATTAACAGTTGAAAAGCAAGTACCATGCCGTTGAGTTCCTTTGGGACGCGGGGCACGTTGTCGAGGTGACCGAGGGCGTTGGCGACGGAGGCAAAGACGGGCTCAGTGACCATGGCGATGGCGTTCTTGCTCTCGTCTAGGGCCTGGACAACGTGGAGGACGCCGGGATGGCGGATGCGGACGAGGCGGGCGGCATCGGCGCGGACGAGATCGAGGAAGGCGTCCTCGGCGGCCTTGGAAAGGCCGGCGCGGACGCGGGCCTCGGCGAGGGCACGCTTGTCGAGGACCCAGACGGTGACCAGGGGGTAATGGGTGGAGGGGGCGGAGGCGCGAGGGCGGGCTGCGAAGAGGCGCCAGGCGAGGCCGGGGCCGCCGGAGCCGGCCTGATCAAGAAGGTCATAGTCCTGAAGCGGCCTCGGCCCCGTCACCTCCTGCACCGTCGTCTGAACCGTCTTCTCGATCACCGCCCCGGCCTTCGCCAGCGCCTGCGTCAGCGTCTTCATGTTCAAAGACATTTTCCTACCCTTACCGCTCACCTTCCCCCTTTCTTTCTTGGCGCAGATCTGATGATGGGAGAGAAATAGGGGGACGATCTTGATGGTCTTGCAAGAATCTGATGGTTTTCTTGGAGGTTCGGTTCGCGAATCGGAGGAGGAGGAGGAGGAGGAGGCGGAAAGGGGGAAGGAACGGCACCGACAGAGACGGTGGTGGGGGGTGGTTTGGTCCGCTGTCAACGCTGGCCTTACGCGACTCGCTTTTATTCCTTTTTACCAGGCGTTCTTCCAACTCCCAATTCTTGAAGGATGGGATGGCGTGGGGACGGGAGGGACATAGGATGCTTCGCGGAGTACCAAGCACAATACAAATGGGTCGGGTTTTTCTCGGATGTACGCACATCGGACGCTTAAACACCGAGTATCGGATTTCTTTGGGATGTCCGTGTGCACCCGAGTCGTTTAAATGGATTCACGGCAGGAACGTGAACGTGGCGGATCGTGGGATGTCCGTCGTCCCCATCACGCTCCCGGGGCGGGTATGGGGACGGAGAATCCGATTAGAGTGGGGAACACGTAGATTTATAATATTCTTCTAATTATCTATTTATATTTAAAAATAAAATTATTATCAAAATTAATTAATAATATTCAAACTTATAAATAATAATAATGGTAAAATTTACATATCATAATAATATTCAAATATAAACACAATCAAATATATTCAAATATAATCATAAGCAAATAAATATAGATATATCTAAATAAATCTATAAACTAATAATTTTCTTTATTAAACTTGATTTTCTAATTTACATGCATACATATCCGTACAAGATGGATCCTACGTATGAAATACCTAACATATTAGGTGCAACAGTGATCAGTACTCAAAGCCCTCGATGGAGACTCTCTCGAAGCATTTGGACAAGCGTGTTGTTGTTCTTTGTGGTTCTTACATCTAATTACTTCTTATGAATGTTTTGCCATGAGATTTTGGTGTTAACCATAAGGATGAAAGAATGAAACAGCTTTTCTTGTGTGACACCTTATGACATTGGAGTTTGCATCATCAGGTATTGGATGGCATGGTTCTGGAAAGGTAGGTGAGGATGGAACTTCTGTCACTGGTTAGCATCTCCGCTCTGGTTCTTCTTCCTGTTGCAGTAGTACTCAACCTTGAGCCGACCAAAGAGGCATTCAGTCCGGCAGTGGTATCGTAGAATATAAAGAAAGTTTTTTGATGTATGAGATCATCTGAAATGGCTGATATGCTGCTTTTCCATGCATCATTAGGCAGCTCAAGGATTGGATAGCTTGGCAGGATGACCTACAGATGTGTTTCGATTCCCCTCTCCTGAATCCTTTTCAAGCTGACCATTGTGCACGTTCTTCCTGGTCCAGTTTCTCCAGATCATCATAGAATCTTCGTGTTTGACTTTTTAATGTCCACCAATCAGGGAAGGGAAGCAGAGATATCTGAATGTTGGATGTAGATGAAAGGGAGCGATTCCTTGCGCTGCCATTAATGGACAACTAACTGTTACAACATATAGACAATTCTATGTTGCAGATGTGCATCAGAGTATCGGAGAAGATCGCTGTTGTGGGAGCTATTGTATTGACCACCCCACGAGCCTATTCTGGAGGACTTCACTGGATGGATTGATCGCTGATCTTTCTCCTCGAAAAAGACCATTCTTTGTGGCATCCTATGCACCTTAAATGATACCTTAATCTTAATTTGTTTAGATTAAGATTATCTCATCTATGTTTGGGAAAACTTATAATGTAATTCTGGCGTGTTGACCTGATCGAAGAAATCATCTTCACTGGTTTTTACGTGTGAAAGTAGTAAGAGTATTCTTCATCTCATCCATGAGAATCATGTGCCAACAGGCCGCTGGATGAGTGTGGTTTCGTCTCATCAATATTGCCAAACTCGGTTGAAAGTTTGACATTCGAAAACATTGATGCTTTTCATCAGATCAGCATCATAACTTTTGCCGATGCCCAATGTGAATCAAATACTCTCAGGGCAGTCGCTTCTGCCTGTCACACACAGGGAAGGAACCCACAGATGGATCCACTGGTTCAGGCACAAAGAAACAGCACGAGTCTCTATCAACAAATGGATCAACCTAAGAAGCAAGAAAGGAAGAGAAAATAGTTTCAGTGTCGGGCTTGGATGTGGGAATCATCAGCAAAAGAAATGCCTTTGTTTACACACTGCATGCATGCTTGCACGCAACCCACCACCCATCTCAGCAACCGCTGGCCGTAGAAGGAAGTTCCTCCCGTTGAGTAATGCTCCAGACTGCACGTTGCTGATCCAAGGAGAACACAGTTGTATATGCTGAGGAGATCAAGCTTAGCCTCAAAGAAGACCAGTTCATGGCAGGTGTGCAGTGACAGCTGCTTGCATATAAATAGTTTGTTGGCTGAACTATGTTGCCCTACGGAAAACAATAAAGAGAGAGAGATCCTGAAGCTGAGCGTAGAATAAAGACGATGACGGGAAGCATAGCGAAGAGGTGGAGAGTTCTCCAGGGGAAGGATAGCTGGAAAGGCCTGTTGGACCCTCTCGATGTCGACCTCCGCCGTAGCCTCGTCCTCTACGGCGAGATGGCGCAGGCGGTCTACGACGGGTTCATCAGGCAGAAGAAGTCGCGGTTCGCGGGCGCGCCGCTGTACGCCCGGTCGAACATCCTCCAGAAGGTGGCGCTGTCGCAGGGCCAGGAGCGGCTGTACCGGGTGACCAAGTTCTTCTACGCCACCTCCGGCGTGCAGGTGCCGGACGCGTTCATCATCAAGTCGCTGTCGCGGCAGGCGTGGAGCAAGGACTCCAACTGGATGGGGTACGTGGCGGTGGCCACCGACGAGGGGGCGGCGCAGCTGGGGAGGAGGGACGTGCTGGTGGCGTGGAGGGGGACGCTGCTGCCGCTGGAGTGGATCAATGACCTGGACTTCACGATGGTGCCGGCGCCGGAGGTGCTGGGGTCGAGCTCCCCCTTGGTCCACCGCGGCTGGCTCTCCATCTACACCTCCGAGGACCCCAAGTCCCCTTACAGCAAGAGCAGCGCTCGAAACCAGGTATAACTCTCTCTCCCTCTCTCTCTCTCTCCGCCATCCATGAATCTACGTTGCTATAGGGAACAACAGCTCTGTGCATTACAGTCACCGTAAGAACTCTAATAATGATTTCATTCACAATCATATGTTTCTGGTTTGGCTTCATAATTTTTGATATAACCTATACATACATACATACATACATACATATATACTATTCACAATTATGTATGCATGAAAAGTCAAATTGGTTTATTCTAAAAGTATAATGCACAATTGTAGATGCAAAGAACAATATACAACTAATAATAATGCTAATAATCCTGTTTGCAGGTTCTGAAGGAGGTGGGAAGACTGATAGAAGAGTACAAAGATGAGGAGACCAGCATCACCATAACCGGACACAGCCTCGGGGCCGCAGTGGCCACGCTCAACGCAGTAGACATCGTCGCCAATAGCTTCAACAGAAGCAGCAACCCCTCGTCGACGGGCTGCCCGGTCACGGCCTTCGTCTTCGCCAGCCCCCGCGTGGGCGACTTCGAGTTCCAGAAGCTATTCTCCGGGACGCCGGACCTGAGACTTCTCCGGGTCCGCAACGCGCCTGACCTGGTCCCGAACTACCCCATCATACCCTACGTCGACGTCGGCGTGGAGTTGGCCATCGACACCCGGAAGTCGGAGTACCTGAAGGCGCCGGGCGACCTCACCACATGGCACAACTTGGAGTGCTACCTGCACGGCACGGCCGGAGCCCAAGGACGCAGAGGAGGGTTCAAGCTGGCGATCGATCGAGACGTGGCGCTTGTCAACAAGAGCACCGACGCGCTGAAGGATGAGTACTTGGTGCCGGACTCATGGTGGGTGGAGAAGAACAAGGGCATGATGAAGGGAGCTGATGGGCACTACAAGTTGGAGGACCATGAGGAAGACAACAATGCTTAAGATTTCTTTTTGGTCAACTGGGAAATAATTGCAGTAGTGCAAAAATAAAGTTGACATTATATCATGTATCATTTTTTTAATAAACTTTTTTGCATAGCAAACCAATAATATTTTTATTATTAAAAAAATAAATCAATAAATCAATTAATATAGGAATAACCGATATGATCGATACCTTAGTATCACATAATAATGTGTCAGTCGTTGTAGTTGGAGACAAACATGCATGATATGATCAACATCACCTTGGCATAAGATCGAAAAACAAATCCTAATTGACTTCAAATCAGTATCCAACACAAACAACAAAAAAATAAAATCAACTTAACACAAATACAGAAGTGTAATAATACATTTTTTTTCTTTTAATTATTACAGAGCAAACTAAGCAGTTTCATCTCCCAATATATAAATCAACCCTCGGAGACCTCAACATCTCCATGCAGGCTCAATTGGATGTTAGGGCATGTGCTGCCGATGGCCGGAGCAGCAAATGGTCCATGTAGCAGGCCACTTGCGATGCTTCTGTAAGTTGCTTCAGTCATATGTAGGCCGTCCCAGTGCACGTACCTGGAAGGATCACCACAAACCGTTGAGCCTTCGCTTCCACATTGCCTTGAGAAGTTGTAGTTGTATGGACCGCCACCCCCGCAGCATGCCACGAGAGGCTCCTCGCCGAATCCTGAACCCAGAACAAGCAAACGAAACATGGAGATCTCACGACGATCAGATGTGATGCAGAAGCATGAGGCTGTGAAGGCACTACTGCAGCTCACCGAATGCATTTGGGTTGCTGAATATACTCATGGAAGCTCCGTAGTAGTCGGCATAGATTATGGTGGCATGAGGATGCAGTTGCTGCAGCCGCCGCAGCTCAGCTTGCAGGCGGCCATTGTGGTACATGGAGAACTCGTTCAGCCACTTCAGGCAACCAGTCGTCGAGTCGTAATCCTCGGCCTGGTGAGTCCGGTAATAGGTGAGATAGGCGGAGTTGCATCCGAGAGGAGTGATTCCTGGAACCAGCAGCGTTCGTGCTCCCAGCTCTATCAGTTCCTGGGCAACCAAACCAACATGGGTGTGTGGTAAGAACAAGCACTGATCTAGTTGGCATATGTAGCCCGAGAGCTCACTGTGTTGGCTTACATCGATGGCCGAGCTGATGGTCGAGACGACTCGGGGAACGAAGGACTTGATCTCGCGCAAGCTTCTTCCCTCCATGAACGGGTCATTGTAATCATTCCCTCCAATCGCACCCATTAAGACGAGAGATTTATGGAGCATGTCCTCGCACGCTGCCGACAAATGCAATATGAGATTTGAACCATACTAGTGATCCTGCTACATCATTGAGCCAGTTTCTGTGGGGTGCTAATCCCCTGACATCTTTGACTACTGAATTCCCCCTACAGCCACTCGTTCGGCATCATTTTATTGCTTGAAAAGGAGTGCAGCTTTTGGGAATGTCTAATGGCTACGGACTGACTACCTCAGCGTCTTATATATTTAATCATATATATATATATACTGTAGCTGAAATCTTAGCTGTAGGAAGAAGATGTGGTCCAAAAGATTACCTGAGGAAGAGGAGCAGAGGGACGGCAGTAATTGCCTGAACCAGTGGATCTGGTCACCCAAGGAGACGTTGGTGAACTTGATATGGATCCCTCTCTTCCTAAAGAATCCATTCTCCATCGCCGTCGCCCCTCCCACCGCGAAGTTCACCCCCTTCCTCATGTCTCCGCCCGTCGTCTCCTCCAGATACGGCGGCAGCAGCGGCAGCCCCATCGCTTGCGCTGCAACCACAACCACCTCATGCTGAGATCTACTGTGTCTTTACATGTATGACATGAACGAAGCGAAGAGACTGCGTACCGATGAAGTCAACGATGAGCCGGCCGTCGGAGAAGCGGCCGGTGGGGCGATGGAAGTAGGTCATGCCGTACGGCGGGCGGCCGATGCGGGTGCCGTCCCTGCCGAGGGTGTGGAGCAGGTTTCCTGTGTCGGCAAGGGAGTCGCCGAAGCTAAAGATGGAGGAGTAACAACCGGTGGTGGCCGAGCCAAGAGCAGCCGGGAGGAGGAAGAGGAGGAGGGTGATGAGGCGCAGAGAGGCGTTGACGGACACAAGGTTCGTCGACGATTCCATTAGAGATCGAGAGACGGAGATGCGATCCTTGGAATTGCCCCGTATCATGAAATAAGCAGCGACAGGTAGCACGTTTTCCGCAAGGGAAGAATAAATATTGTAATGGTTCTAATTCTCGCTCGTTGGGGTCACAATTGGGGTCGTTGAATTTGAATCGACTCTTAGATATTAATTATCGACATAACCAATCAATTAGCCTACCTAAAATATTAATTACGATATGAGATGAAATCATTGATGTCTCGTCCCATATGATCCATATGTCTTGACGAGTAAAAGATGTCTCATATGTCTTCGTACATTAATAAATATTTTAATATATGTATGTGATGTCTTTGAGGTGAAAATGTTGAGTTCTCGAAATATTATCTACATGAAGACTAATGTCAAAAGAGTTTTTTTTATATCGAGTCCTTTTAATATATACGTTAGCAACGATAAATGTATCCGTGCGGACTTAAGTTGTAAAAAAACTAAATCTCTTTTTTCATTGTGTTGGAGATAAACTTTTATATTTTGTTGTAAAGAAATAAAATATTCTGCGGGGAGGTAGCTTTTAACTGTCTCCAGTATCCTCCCTTTTGCCTCTTATCCACGTGGGCGACAAGGGGGTTGACTTTTATCTTCTCCTTTCAAGTGGATCTTTATCTACATTAGTAAACGAGTGGAGGGTGACATCCATTTTCTCCTTCCACCCTGGACACCACATGATGGTTACATGTCGAATGTCAATTACCTAAAAGAATAACCCCTTTAAGTGAAAGAATAACCCCCTTATGAAAGTATAATGAGTCAGGAGTAAAACCTCATCGCTCGATCATTCATTGAGATGGTCAACGGATGAATGTTCTTATAACATCAAACCCTCCTTTTAACGTGAGAATGATAAGGGAATAAGTTATTAACATTTTGGTCAGGCCAACGTAGTATATACCTGTATGCGTAGGGTTATCTGAGCTATCTTTAATGTGAAAACATTGAACTTTTGAGATGCTAACCTATATGAATATCGAGGTCGAAAGAGGTTCCCTCGTCCGATCCCTTTCACGCTCACGCTAGTAATTTGAGGTGTATGAGCATGGATACAAATAGTTAAAAAAGGTATGCCTCCTTTTTAATTATGTTAACGATGAGGTTGTAATCTTATTAATAATATATAAAATATTTCATGAAATATTATGTAGGAGAGACTGTTTCTAATTATTTTTAATAGGCTCATCGTATCGTCGTGGAGACCGGTAAATAGAGATGGTGGTGTTGTAACAGTCGGCGTAGATGATGGTGGCATGTGGATGCGATCGCCGGAGCTGGCTCAGCTCATGCCACAACAACTGGTCGTGGTACTCGACCAAGCGGTTCAAGAACTTTAGACACCCGGTTTCAGGTTCGTAATCCTTTGTGCTTGCACCGGAGAAGAACTTGAGGAACGTTGGGAGGCATCCGAATGGTAAATCTCTGGGAACGACCAACGTCTTAGCACCGAGTTGGATCAATTCCTAGAGATCAAATAAACGGGTTGTAGACGATGATCTGAACCGAAAAATTGTACTTCTGTGAGGGAATTCGATTTACGCTGATTGCTGAGCTAATGGCGCCGACGACGTTGGGGACAAAGGTTTTGATCTCGTCTGTTGGGGATGGAGGAGCAAGGAAAAAAAATAAAATACTATTATAGTATTAAAAACATAAGGATTCACAAGAATACTTACAAGATACCAAATGCACAATTACAATGACGAAGAATCCAACATTTCATGGAAGAACGAAGCATATAGAGATACGCTATCATTTCATCCGAGATCTTGTAGCAAGTAGAGCCATAACAATGAAATATTGTGGAACAGATGAACAAGTTGCAGATATCTTTACCAAGTCGCTTCCGGTTCAAAAGCATGTTTATTTCATGTCGCAAATCAAAGGGGAGTGTTGAGATTTGGTTCATAGTTATCTAGGTAGTTACAGAGTGATTTCAATAACTACCTCAATCATGATCTAGTAGTTATAAGATGATTTCAATAACTACCACAATCATGATCTAGTAGTTATAGGATGGTTATAACTAGGTCCTATAAATAGGACCATAGTTCATGAAGTAAGATATATAGAGAGTGTGTGCATTTGGCATCTTGTAAGTATTCTTGTGAACCCTCCAGTTTTTAATACTATAATAGTAATTTATTTTTTTTTCTTGCTCCTCTATCCCCAACATTTGTGGTATCAGAGCTTAGTTTCAATATGAACTGGGCGATCCAAATGACGAAATCAGGCTGAGGGAGAATAGAAAGAAGGACTCAAGGGTATTGTTCTTCATTCAACAAGTTGTACATGAGACAATCTTCTCAAGAATTGTAGCAGCAACAACCTCAAAGCAATCTTGGTTGATACTTCAAAATGCATTTCAAGGCTCATCAAGGGTGATTACGGTAAAACTTCAAATCCTTCGTCGTGAGTTTAAAATTTTGTTTATGAAAAGCAATGAATCAGTATAAGATTTTCTTTCTCGAGTGACTGAAATTATTAGTCAAATGAAATCTTATAGTGAACATCTTTATGATCATATAATTGTTGTAAAAGTTTTGAGAAGTTTAACTAAAAAAATTGATAATGTTGTTGCCGCAATTGAGGAGTCAAAAGATTTATCTACATATTCATTTGATGAATTAATAGGTTCCTTGCAAGCACATGAAGCAAGGTTGAACAAGTAACTTGAAACAAGTGAAGAAAAAACATTTGAGGAGTCTTCTACTTCAAAAAAAGACAAAAAATCAACAAAAAATCAATAAAAAAAATATTACAAAGGAAAAAGAAGAAAACATTATCAACAAGATTGTGAATGAGTAATAAAATACCTTGATAATGTTTTCTTTATTCCTACTTTATCACATAACTTGTCGAGTGTTAGATTATTGATAGATGATGAATATTCAGTAATATTTAATAATAGTTCATGCACTATTAAAGATAAAAAATCTGGTTTGATTATAGTATTTTCTTCTTGTTGATTATAGTATTTTCGTTTTGTTGAGTATTGGACAATTGATAGATGATGGATATTCAGTAATATTTAATAATAGTTCATGCAATATTAAAGATAAAAAATTTGGTTTGATTAAAGATCAAAAATCTTGTTGAGTCATAAAAACTTACTATTTTCTTCTTTTTCCTCCACATAGCTTACTTGCTTTTTTCTTTTCCAGCAATCTACCTCAATATGACCAAACTTTTTACAATAGTGACATTGAATTTCACTCTTGTAATTTTTTTTTATCATAATTTGATTGTCTTTGTTCATCATGCCCATCAAAGTGTCCTCTTCCTCTTCCATTTCCTTTACCATGAAATCCTCCTCTGCCACATCATCTTCCTGCTGATTTTTTGTCTTCTTTTGAAGTAGAAGACTCCCCCTTAACCTGAAATATTTTTTCTTTACTCTTTTCAAGTGATCTATTCAACCTTGCTTCATGTGCTTGTAAGGAACATATTAGTTCATCAAATTAATATGTAGATAAATCTTTTGACTCCTCAATTGTGACAACAACATGATCAAATTTCTGAGTTAAACTTCTCAAAATTTTTACAATAATTATATGATCAAAAAGATGTTCACTATAAGATTTCATTTGACTAATAATTTCAGTCACTCGAGAAAGAAAATCTTGTACCGATTCATTGCTTTTTATTAACAAAATTTCAAACTCACGACGAAGGATTTAAAGTTTTACCGTAATCACCCTTGATGAGCCTTGAAATTTATTTTGAAGTATCAACCAAGCATGTTTTGAGGTTGTCGCTGGTGCAATTCTTGAGAAGATTGTCTCATGTACAACTTGTTGAATGAAGAACAATACCTTTGAGTCCTTCTTTCTATTCTCCCTCAGCCTAATTTCGTCATCTGGATCGCCCAATTCAAATTGAAACTAGGCTCTGATACCACAAATGTTTGGGATGAATGAGCAAAAATAAAAAAACAGAATACTATTATAGTATTAAAAACAGAAGGATTCACAAGAATACTTACAAGATACCAAATGCACACACTCTCTATATATATTACTTCATGAACTATGATCCTATTTATAGGACCTAGTTGTAACCACCCTATAACTACTAGATCATGATTTTGGTAGTTATTGAAATCATCTTATAACTACTAGATCATGATTAAGGTAATTATTGAAATCATTCTGTAACTAACTTAGATAACTATGAATCAAATCTCAACATCGTCGACGCTTCTTCATCGAAGTAGAGGTGGTTGTAGTTTGTTCCCTCGGATTCCACGAGAGAGAGGGATGATGGTTGACATACCGATGAAGTCGATCATGATCCGGCCATCGGAGTAGCGACCGGTGGGATGATGGAAGTAAGTCTTACCATAGGGGGGTTGCCCGACGTGGTAAGGCTTACCGTCGCAGGAGAGCAAGTCGTTTCCGGTGTCGGCGAGCGAGTCGCCGAACCTGAAGATGGAGGAGAATTAGGCGACATGTGCGTCGGTGCGTAGGGCAACAAGGGAAAGAGCAAGGCAGAGGAACGAAAGCATGGAGGAGAAGGCCATTAGAAGGCGATGGGAAGCTGGTGCAACTATTAGTAGGAAGAAGAGTGGGGGTACATACATCTCCTTCCTCGCATTCAACAACAAAACTGGAGGCTACCGACAAATGGTTCCCAGTGACATTTGATTGGGAGAGGGAGACATTCGGGGAACACATCCAATATCCTATTGATTGGACCAATAATGATTTGATATTTGATATTTTTATTAATTATATTTTATCTAAATATTATATTTTAAATATTTAAATGCTAATGATTTCTTATGATAATATGCATTTGCAGGGACCTAATGATTTTTTTTAATTTATTAAAGTACCTTATGATATTCTCTAAAATTATAAGATTAACACTAAATAAAAATTATAATTCACGTTTACTCTTTTATTCTCTTAAGTTTTATCATCGTCAACTCTTTCTCTCACAAGTCTATCGTCCTCAACCCAATCCGATTTTGATTTTGATTTCGATTTCAACCCAATCCGAAACGTCAAAACTCAACCCAGCCCAAAGTCCGTTCGATTTACCCCTAGATTGAAACCCAACCCAATCTTAAATCGATTCGAGTCGGATCGGATCTCGGCACACCCATTTCTAAAATGCTGAGGAGATTTTTACGGGTGAATTGGAATTTTAAAGCTAAATCAATAATGGCCTCTCCTCATCGGTTGATCGGACTCACATGTGGGTCCCACACAACCTCCGAACCGCCCCATTGACAGATCAGGTAGGTTTTCGGGTAAGAACCAGTGGCCAGCGAGCGATACCGCCCTCCGATGTCAAAAAAGGCTCCAAATCCAACCGGTCGACAGGTTGGAAGTGTGGCCCGCCCGAGACCCGCACGCGCTCGAGTTCGGATCCTACAAAAGATCCGCCTCCATCGACTCCCCCTCCACAGGCTAATACTTAACAATGAAGCAAGCAAACAAGAAAGGACACCAACTCTCCTCGCACCCACGCCTACCCTCATCCGAAGACGTGGTACCCACGGTTATGCGCCACTCAGATGCACCAAAATTGGGTCCACAGTGAAACGTACCGTGTTGTGGTCGTAGCAACAACAACAGCAAAAAAAAGCACTAATAACCGCAACAAAACGAAACCACGGAGTCGATAAAGTTACTCCCTCGATCGTGATAATTCGGGTCGTAGTTGGGACGTGTGTAGGATCTGTGAGCGGGCGGGGGTGGACTCACCCAAAAGGAGGCGTGCCTTTATAAGTCTCACTTTATAATCATCCGTAAAAACTCCCCCAATTCCCATCTAACGCAGCTCTCCCCACTCCCCTTTTCTTTCTTCTAGGGTTTCGCGACTGGCGCCGGTCTGCCCACCGCCGGATCCACTCTTTTGATCGTTCATCAGCTGCGGAAAGGCTTCTGGCACCAATCTCCCCGACGATTTCGGTGGGTGATCTCGAAAATTCTCCTCTTTATGTTGGTTTCTCCCGTCGATGGAAATTTAGCAGCTACTTCTTCTTTTTTCGTGGATTAGGGTTGTCGATCCAGGGATTCAGTTGAGAAAGTAGTGCTTTTGTGTTAGTATCATGTAAATTTGTTGATCCAATGTTTGTCTACACTGATCTGAGGTTTTGAAGCTGTAGATTTGTTTGCTATGGTGGGTAATTCGATTAGGTTCTGACTTATGCTTACGTCACTTCAATTGGATCTCAATAGTAGTTTCTTTGGGGCTACTGTCGTCTGAGGTTGGAGTCGAAAGGAGTAATAGATGGCCGTTATCATTGTTGCTTTTGTTTTAATTTTTTATTAGACCCCTCCTGATGATGATCTGTAAATCTGAAATCTTAAGAATTATATGTTGTAGTTTTCTGCTTTATTGTTAGGATCGACACTGACTGCTGTTGACTAGTTATGTTTAGTGCCTGTGCGCCTGATTTATGGTTATAAATAGCAGGCTGAAAATAATGATCCTGTCATAGGGCTTTCTCTCCCATGAATTGCCATCAAAGTTGTAATTCTTATATTTGTAAATTGTTTTTTTGACTGATATTACATTATTTAGTTGAACACTTATCTTTTGTCGGAGGATATTCCAACACTGAAGACATCTGGTGAAAATATCTTTATTTAGTATATGAAGTTGGTTGTATTTGGCTTATCTTATGGTTATATTTGTCGAGAACTTTGGTATTGACCTTAATCAGTAATTTGATTTATGTTGGAATTGGTTTTTCAAGGCTCCCTGGTCTAAGGCTCATTGTATGAGCTGTATCTGTTCAGGTTGATTTATTATGCATGCCAGTGTGCATTTTTGGAGAAGTTCTTTAACATGCACATAAATAAGCAAGTGAACTCTGTTTGCATCCATGGGTGTGTAACTTGTGCATCTGTCCTTAAACTGTTCGCGGTGAGTTTTTGACAGATCATGCTTTGAAATAGCTGTGATTGTCGTGTAACATAATTTTTTTTTCTTTGTTTGTGTTGCATAACTGCAGGATAAAGGCTTTAGGGGTTTTTTATAAGGATTGCCATCTCTTTTTTCTGGATTGTGTTCCTATAATTCTGCTCTTTTAGGAAGCTGATTTGTATGATATGTTAAACATATTAATCTCGAGTTACAAAAAAACTCAAAAGTTTTCCTTTCTTTTCTAGAGTAGGTTATGGCAATGGAAGTTACCCAGATCCTCCTGAACGCACAGTCGGTGGATGGTAGTATCCGAAAACATGCAGAAGAAAGCTTGAAACAGTTTCAAGAACAAAACCTTTCTGCATTTTTATTATCACTTTCTAATGAATTGGTAAGCAATGAGAAACCAGTTGATAGCCGTAAGTTAGCAGGTTTGGTTCTTAAAAACGCTTTGGATGCTAAAGAGCAGCACAGGAAAAGTGAGCTTGCCCAAAGATGGCTATCTTTAGATATAGCTGTCAAGGCTCAAGTCAAAGCATGCTTGCTACAAACCCTTGCTTCCCCTGTTCCTGATGCTAGGTCCACTGCATCTCAAGTCATTGCCAAGATTGCAGGTATCGAACTACCTCAGAAGCTGTGGCCTGAACTAATAGGTTCTCTGCTGTCCAACATACACCAGCTCCAGCCTCATGTTAAGCAAGCCACACTAGAAACCCTTGGTTATTTATGTGAGGAAGTCTCCCCACAAGTTGTTGATCAAGATCAAGTGAACAAGATACTTACTGCGGTTGTTCAGGGCATGAATGCTTCTGAGGGGAGTAGTGATGTCAGACTGGCTGCCACACGAGCATTGTATAATGCACTAGGATTTGCACAAGCAAATTTCTCGAATGATATGGAGAGGGATTATATCATGAGAGTTGTTTGTGAAGCAACCTTATCCCAAGAGGTAAAGATACGGCAGTCTGCATTTGAGTGCTTGGTAGCCATCTCATCTACCTACTATGACAAGCTTGCATCGTACATGCAAGACATATTCACTATCACAGCAAAAGCAGTGAGGGAAGATGAGGAACCTGTTGCTCTTCAGGCCATAGAGTTTTGGAGCTCAATCTGCGATGAGGAGATTGACATCTTAGATGAATATGGAGGTGACTTTACTGCTGATTCGGACATCCCTTGCTATTACTTCATCAAGCAAGCTCTACCTGCTTTAGTTCCAATGCTCCTGGAGACACTTCTCAAGCAGGAGGAGGATCAAGATCAGGATGAAGGTGCTTGGAATCTTGCAATGGCAGGTGGAACATGTTTGGGACTCGTTGCACGAACAGTTGGAGATGATATAGTTCCTCTTGTAATGCCTTTCATCGAGGAAAATATAACAAAACCAGATTGGAGGCAAAGAGAAGCGGCAACTTATGCATTTGGATCGATTTTGGAGGGTCCATCCCCCGACAAGCTCACACCTATTGTCCATGTTGCACTAAGCTTTATGCTGACTGCATTGATGAATGATCCAAATAACCATGTAAAAGATACTACTGCATGGACACTTGGTAGAATTTTTGAGTTTCTTCATGGATCCACTGTGGAAACACCTATTATCACACCCGAGAACTGCCAGCAGATTCTCACTGTCCTACTTCAGAGCATGAAAGATGTTCCAAATGTTGCTGAAAAAGCTTGTGGTGCTTTGTACTTCCTAGCTCAAGGCTACGAGGATGTTGGTGCAGTATCTCCGTTGTCTCCTTTCTACCAGAACATTATACAGGCTCTTCTCACTGTTACACGCAGAGAGGATGCTGGGGAATCACGCTTAAGGACTGCAGCTTATGAGACTCTGAATGAAATTGTGAGGTGTTCAACTGATGAGACAGCTCCAATTGTAATGCAGTTGGTACCTGTCATCATGATGGAGCTCCATCAAACACTCGAAGCACAAAAGCTCTCATCAGATGAGAGGGAGAAGCAGAATGAACTGCAGGGTCTTCTGTGTGGGTGCTTGCAGGTCATTATCCAGAAGTTAGGAGCAGCTGAGACAACAAAATATGGCTTTATGCAATATACTGATCAGATAATGGATCTTTTTCTGAGGGTTTTTGCTTGCCGAAATGCCACCGTGCATGAGGAGGCTATGCTTGCAATTGGTGCTTTGGCATATGCCACCGGGACAAACTTTTTAAAATACATGCAAGGATTTTATCCATATCTGGAGATGGGTCTTCAAAACTTCGAGGAGTATCAGGTCTGTGCTATAACAGTTGGTGTCGTGGGAGATTTATGCAGGGCATTGGAGGACAAGATTCTGCCTTTTTGTGATGGAATCATGACACAGCTTCTCAAGGATCTCTCGAGTAACCAATTGCACAGATCTGTCAAGCCCCCAATATTTTCATGCTTTGGTGATATCGCCCTTGCGATAGGAGAAAACTTTGAAAAGTACTTAATCTATGCCATGCCTATGCTACAGAGTGCTGCTGAGCTGTCTGCACATGCTGTGGCAGATGATGATGACATCCTTGAGTACACCAACCAACTAAGAAATGGGATTCTGGAGGCATACTCTGGGATATTACAAGGATTTAAAAGTTCCCCCAAGACCCAGCTGCTGATGCCTTATGCATACCACATCCTTCAGTTCATCGATACATTGTACAGTGAGAAGGACATGTGAGTACTCGAAAAACGCATAGCTCCTTTTTCTTTGTGTTGACCTGTTGGGTGGTTTTCCGCTGACAATATAGTGTGCCTTTTTTTTTTATGTTCTGTTAGGGATGATGCGGTGATGAAGACT